GGGTTGATGATACCAAGAGCAAAAACTTGCAACATACTGAGACCAAGACTCTGATGTAAGACTAAGGGATGTTTTCACAAACCACACTGTTGGTGGGTCAGGTTGAGCAATCTGTGAACAGTCCGTGTTCCTCCTCTGGAGAACAGACCGTGCCTTCTCACCAGCGAGATGTACACTTGGCTTACACACCATAACTTTTTTTTCTGTTAAATGTGGGTTCTTGGTATTTTTCTATATTGCTCATCTTTCTGTGCTGTCTTAAGTCCAAATGGGTTTCTGTGGAAACACATCTCTGATTGGTAAATAAATGGAAAAAGATGGTTTGTGCGTTTTTAAAAAGTTGATAATATGTCTTATGGTGATGGCATATCCGAATCTCCTGGGAGGGTTCCAGTTGCCCCTAAGACAGAGCCAGAGAGAGAGGCTCTCTTCCCCGTCCACTGGCCAGGGAAGGCTCCATTCCTGACCCATCAGGGCGTTGTACCGCACAGGCGGCTGGGGTGGAGAGAAGGCTTTGTTGCTAGCAGGAGGGCTCCTCTTATCCTCAGACACGCTCTCTTCCCCGTCCACTGGCCAGGGAAGGCTCCATTCCTGACCCATCAGGGCGTTGTACCCCACAGGCGGCTGGGGTGGAGAGAAGGCTTTGTTGCTAGCAGGAGGGCTCCTCTTATCCTCAGACACCTGCACGGTGCATGCACTTGGATCTGCTGGTGCCCCTGAGGACAGGCCCCTCTTGCGAAGAGAAGTTGGGTGGTGCCCATCACTGGAATCCAGACACATGTGGGCATGTCTGACAGACTCACCATGGGGAGCAGACACAAAGCAGATTATGAGCAGGGAGGCTGGGGACCCTTCAGATACAACACAGCCCAAGAGAAGCTGAAGAATGGCCAGCCCAAAGCCGAGGGCTAGCTGTGAATGGGTGCTGGGACCTGTTCCCCAAACCCCCCACAGCCTCACCACGCTAGGGGTTAAAGGACAGCGAGCAAACTTCAGAAGCAGTCCCAGTGAGCTCTGGGGCCAGACAGTTCTGCCATGAGGCCCCTCAGACAGTGCAGGTCAACACGGAGGAGCCATTACCTACGGGCAAAATACAAATGAACACAGGCCACCAGGAAGAGCAGTTATGGGCAGCAGCCTGGGCAGGGAGGGGCATCGGCCCTAGCACACGCAGCACATGAACCCCACGTCTGCGACGCATCTGGGACAGTTGTAGCTGTGTTCAAGCATGGCCTCAAGAACGGCAGCCCACAAACTGGGGGGCAGCACCACACCCCAGGAGCAGGGCTGGGCTGCGGTGTCAGAGGAGACTCCGAGAGGAGCGGGACTGAGCCCTGCACGCTCACCCAGGAGCTCTCAAACTGGGCCCAGGACAGGGTTGAAGTGACACGTCTGTACCCCGCGGGCTGGGCTCTCTTACTTCGGGAGGTGGTATTTTAATGTCTCTTCAGATCAAAACACAAACACTGGTGTTTGCTTAAATTGTCTGCACTGCTTCTTCAGTTTCTTCTTAGTGTGTATGTGGACACGCTATTTTAGATCCAGAGACTAAAGGAAAGTATTATCTCCTACACTTTCACAACCTGTGGTGATAACAAACGCACGCACGGCAGTTCCTCTGCTGGCAGGTGCTTTCCGTTCCAGTCTGCACTTTCTAGGCTCTTGTTTTGGATTTGAACTGTACAGTCGTTGTATTATACTTGACACAAACACATCCAATATTATAATGCATTGCTCTGGAATATATTTTACTGTATATAATGGGCTGGCTAAAAGCCGCCCACATCATCACAGCTTGTTTATGGAAAAACATCAAGGGTCTAATTGTTGCCCGCATCGTCCTAAGAAACCACGGTAATTTGTCTTTAGACTCATGTCATGATCTACCCCGATTCTCCACTGATGGTCTACATTGGAGTCCCCCGGTTGAGGGGTGGGCACCAGTGGTCCTGTCTGCATGGTTCTGAGCAGTACCCAGTCTCAGAGACCTCCTCCCCGGTCACTTGTGATTGATCCAGGGTGGACACCCACCTGAGGCAGAACATTCAGTGAATCCTGCGGAAATCTTGACCGAGGTCATAGAGGGTCGAGTTGGTCTCTGCGGTGCTTGCACTCCAGGTTGTGAGCCATGGGAGGTGCTGGCAGCAAGAGGAAGTAAAGTGCAGAAGAGGAGCCCAGGGCAGAGGCTGCCTGAGGGCGGGGAGGCATTCATGTCCCTCCTGTCCTGAGGCCAGCTGCTCCCAACCCCGGATCCCTGAGAGGCCGCCATGATCTTGCAATAAAGTCCTCCTTCGGCTTAAGCTCATTGAAGGTCATGTGAACCGAAACATTTCTCATTAGCACAGGAGGTGTTGGTAGCCAGCATAAAGTACGAATAGCAGGTAGTAATACTAATAACAGGTAACATTTAAAGACTGAGGTTTTCCTGAAGAGGAGACCAGGAATGGGAAGGCCACACTCCAGCCATCCTGGCCCTGGAAGCAGCGTGTTGACCTCCCCGCTGCTCCTTTCTCAGACGGACGCCACGCGAAGGCCTAGTCTGGGGACAGGCAGGTGTGGGTTTCCTCACCGTGAGGCGGAGATGGTCATAGCCCTGAAATAGAGTTGTTGCCGGGGCCAGTGAGATGAGGCGGGTGACGTCCCTTGTTCCAGTAGACATTTGGAAAGAAGTTACTTCTAATCCGTTCTAACTTTTCATTTATAATTAGCTGCAGTGCCTGATCGAAAACGGGCAGAGCGGTGGCAGCCAGAGCCCCTCTGTGTTCTCACCATTAGAGACATTGCTGAGAGAGACGTTCTCTATTAAGTGAAGGAAGCATTCTTTTATTCACGGTTCACCCCAAATATTTTTTCTACAGAAATTGGTGGTGGATATGGTCGAGTAACTTAGTAACTTTTCAGCTTCTCACCAAAAAAAAAAAAAATGTTTTGTCATTTAACCTTATATTTAAATTTAATAATAGACTTCCTAATATTAGACTATCCTTAGCTTCCTAAAGTAAAATATCCTTAATCATTTCACATTGTTCTGGGAATGAATTGGTGGATTCAATCCCTTGCGTTTTATTTAGGATTTTTCTATGTATGAGTGAGATGTCTTTAGTTTTCTTCCTTGTGTTATCTTTCCCAGGTTCCTCTTCGTGGTTATGGTAGGTCATGATGAGGACTTAGGAAGTTTACCACCCTTTTCAGATTTCTGGAACTATTTAAACAGCAGAGAAATCGTCTGTGCCTTGAGGATTTGAAAGAACATGTCTTTAAATATAGATATGTGTATATCCAGTCCCAACATCAATTTTGGAGATAGTCCTTTTTCCTTAAAGTTTTCTAGTTTACACTATGATTATTGGCCTATTTAAGTTTTCTACTTCTTTTTAAATCAATTTGAATCATTTTTATTTTGCCAGAAAATTTTCAATTCATTGAGATATTCAGTTATTTAACATCAAGCTGAAAATACTGTTCTCATTTAATGTCTTTATTTATTCCATTTCTGCACATACTGCCTGTCGTGATTAGCATCTCTCCCCTCGGGGACTTCCTCTAAGTGGGTGGGGGGAGGGGCGCCTCCGTGCTGACGTTTGCTCTGTCCCTGTTCTGGATCATCTCAGTCTTCTCGACCCAAATGGCCACACCCACTGTCATGTCGTAAGCATCAGTGGCAGAGCCTTGGAGTGCACTTAGAGTGGATTGGCCAACACAGGGTAAAAAGCGAATGGTGGTTTTATGTGCAGCACTGTGGTTGCTGTGTTGGGGCCCAGTCAGTTTTTGGGGTGGTCAGCAAAGAGCACTGAGGGATGGAGCAGTGGTGGACACCCAGGCCTCAAGGACTCTGAGACACCTGTCCTAGGAGCCTCCCGTCCACAGTGCCCTGCAGCAGCACCACTGAGGTTCTGACCTCTGGTCTTGTCAGAGTCAATAATGCTGGCATGCTATTTCATGCAAAAAGAATTGACTACTTCAAACATGCCGGTTTGAAGTGTTGTAATGTATAATTATGCTTATTCTATGGAATTAGATAATCTATTAATTTTAACATTTGTAATAGTAGTTATAGAGTTGGAAATCCTTTGAGTCTGAAAAAAGCCTCATAAAAGGCAGTAGAGATGGGTTAGTTGGAAATTCCAGCTGGGAAATTCTGAAAAAAGTCACAACTAAGTTCATGACCAGGTGAAAACCTAGTCAGATAGGAAACTGGGGAGACTGATTATGGAGGTAGGTGCCAGAGATGGGCAAGGCTCACATGGTGGGGAAAGCACAGGTGCTAGACCAGGCAGCCCAGAAGCTGGTTTAGGATCAGGGCAGCAACAGGATCCAGCTCCAGGTAGCCTCACATTTAGCCAGGCAGGTCACCAGCAAAAATTCCAGGAAGCTAATTGCCCAACAAGGATTGAAACCAGTAAAGGCCCCTAAGTCTGGAGGTGGTCAGGGCTACACGACCAGTTCTTCCTTTGTATGTGGTTGGCTACATTAAATAGCGATGCTCGCTTAGCTTCTCGCCTGTCATGCTGTGATTCCACGTAACTCTTCCCCACCGTCTGTGACCGTGACTGCTGTGTGCAGTTTATGCTCAGATCCTCCCCACCGGCATGGACCTTGAGGTGCTATCTTCAGAATGTTTGGGTGGGTGAGGACGCACCATCCAGAAAGTGCTCTGTGTCCTTGGGTTCAGGGCCTCCTCTGGTTCTCTGTGGGCAATTTATCCTGAATTCCCCTTCCCCAAGGGTCCCCATTCTCCAAGGTCTGAGGAGAGACTGAAAAAAATGAGTGTCGTCTGGGAGGTGGGGAGAGGAGTTTCCTTTAGGACATACCAAGCACACAGGTGTTGCTTATGACAAAGAATGAGGAGGCGGAAAACGGGTGCAATCAGTTGGCAAGTTCTTTAAGCAGTTTAAGATGAATACTGTAAGGAAACACATCAAATAAAATAACAAGTTAAAATGTTTAGCAATGTAAATTCCCACCTTCCCTTAAATTCCTCTGCCTTGTCTGTGTTCCAGGTTCAGGTTTAGTGGTCGTATCCTTGGCCTGGCTCTAATCCATCAGTACCTTCTCGATGCTTTCTTCACGAGGCCCTTCTACAAGGCACTTCTGAGACTGTAAGTGTGTTGCAGACCACAGTTCCGCTGGCCCTGGCTGCTGGACAGTGGCACTGGCCTCTCTGGCACCAGCCTCTCTGGCACCTCTGGTCTTTTGTCTCTGTTTTACCTTAACCATTCCTGTTGGGGTTAGGGTGATTTCCTGTTCTGAGTGCTTAGATATCACATAAACCTTTGACAATAAAAAGGCATTTGGAGATTTTAGGTAGGCATAGGGGAAGACTCTATTATCAAAACATCATGTAATAAATACAAGTCAGTTCACATAAAAATTATGATATTATTTCAAACATTGCATTAAACTATTAAGAAGAATTGGTCGGTTTATAGCTTACTTGTTTTAAAATAATACTTTTCTCTAATTGCCATGAAAGGAGTCCATGGGTTTATAATTAAATTCTATGTTTATGATCATAAATATTTTAAATTTTTCTTTTCAAAAGAAAATTATTGAACCAGTTATTGGTTCCTTCAATAAAAATTTGTTATAAAAATATCAGATGGTTGAAATAATTCCACAGTGTTTTAGCATAACCACATTTTTGGACTGAGGTCTGAGCAGCCACTCGCTCGGTAATTGCTAACCATTCTCCCTTTGAATTCACCCAGCCCCTGTGATTTGAGTGACCTGGAATATTTGGATGAGGAATTCCACCAGAGCTTGCAGTGGATGAAGGACAACAACATCACGGATATCCTAGACCTCACTTTCACCGTTAATGAAGAGGTCTTTGGACAGGTTTGTGTGATGTGGGTCTTGGAAAGGGGGTTTTGTATTTTATTATAGAAAATGCACATAACATAAAATTTACCGTCCTCACCATTTTTCAGTGTGCACTTCAGTATGGTTGAGTATGTTCACATCGTTGGACATCCAATCTCCAGAATGCTTTTATATTGCAAAACTGAAACTCTACCCATCAAACAACAACTCTCCACTTCTCCTGCCGCGTAATAACTTCGTATAGCATACATTATACGAAGTTATACGATGAACAGTGCTGCTGGGAGCACAGGCGTGCAAGCACCTGCCCAAGTCCCGGCTTTCAGTTCTTTTGGATAAATACACAGAAGTGGGATTGCTGTGATTTATAGTCATAGGAATATGTCTTTAAACTAGAGAACAAGACATATCATTCATTCAAAGTATGATTCTTTGGGGAGTACTTCCTTTAATAAATCTGCCCATGTCCTCTTCCTTCCTTTTTTTTTGTTATGACATGGATCTACTTTATGGAGTCTTTTGAAAATCAAATGTGATCATGGAGCAGAAAGCATTTTTGCGAAGTATGTCATGCACATGTAAGCTATTTCTGTTGTCTATGCAACTGCAAAATAATTCTTTTCATCACACCCAGATATTTATTCCTCCAAAGTGCATAGATCTCAATACTACTTAAGAGATAAATCTTCCTGTTTTTTCCTACTAGTATTTATGCATTGAATCTTCTGGTGAAATGGGTTACAGTTTTAACAGAAAATATCACAGCCTGAGCAGATTTAACAATAAGACTTTGAGAACATCATTTATAAGAGACCCCAAAAGCCCATGACATGTGGTAATTTATAATACGGTTGTTGTGAGACTCTTAAAATAATTTATAAGCACCTTGCTTGAATATGGACAGTGTGTTGAGTCTATGGATAAGTTGCCCACTGAACGCTGCGGACTACCCAGCATCCATATCTCAATCAAGATTCTTAGAGAGGTCCTGGAAAATGCCAATATCCTGTTGTATTGCCTTTGTATAAACATACCTCTGAAGAATGCTCTGATACATATTTGAGAAAATGCATTTCTTCCTATAACTATAGAAAGCACATTTAAATATGTTCAAGAATATGCTGTCCTGCCATGCACTAAATGAACAGGTAAAGTACACTATTTCCTATGCATTAGTATTTTTAGCTCAGCCTTCACATTTGCCCTATAATAGATGGTAAATTTGTAAAATATACACAATTATTTACCAAATTGTATTAAGACAACAATTTAATATTTAGCTATATTAAAAATTTTTAAGTTAGATCTCTAACCTAACTCATTACACTAAAATAAACTCCAGCTATATCAGAAACCTGAATGTTAAAAGAGAGAAAAAAAGAAACAAGAGAATTTTTTTTTTATTTTTAATCTTGTAGTAAGGAATCATGCTATAGATATGGCACAAACTCTCAAATTCATAAAAGATTGACATAGTCAAATAAAATTATTTTTTAAATTCTGCTTGGCGAAATACACCATAAACAAAGTAAAGGTAGCATAATATTTAATATATTGTAATATGTAACACAGACGAAGGCTATTTCCTTTAATGTTGAAAGAAATCCCACAGATCAGTAAGAAATGATCAGTCAACAACCCAACAGAAAATCAGCAAAGAATATAAATTGATAGTTCTCAGAAAAGGAAATATGAGGAGATACTCAACCTCGCTCAATTTTTAAAATGTAAATTAAAGCTATAATGAGATATCATTTTTCCTTATTAGAATACCAAGAATCAGAAAGTTTCACAGTATTCTATTTAGAGCTGGTGCAGAGAAACAGGCACTCCTGCAAATTGTAGTTGGACGTTTGGTTCATTCTCTATGAGAGGTGCCCTGGCGATATTTATCCATATTTACATCACATGCCTCTAACTCAGCATCCACATCTAGGAATTTGTCCTAAAGATATATTCATACCTAATTGAAATGCCTAATTAGAATCTTCATTACAGCATTGTTGATAATTGCAAAAGATCTGAAACAGTCTAAATGTCCAGCAGTAGAGAAATTGTTAAATAAATGATACATTTACACAATGGAATAGTGGAATTGTGTGTGGCTATTGAAAAGTATGAGATACCCCAGCCCATCAATTTACATATAGATCCTAAACAATAAACAGCGTGTTCTGACAATCACAAAGAAAGAATAAGGCAGGTCTAAATTGGTGTGAAGCAATTGCCAGGATATATTTTTCAGAGAGAAAAGGATGGTGAACAGCAGCGTTTATGGTATGCTACTGCTTATGGGGGAAGAGAGGACATGGACACGTTCCCTGACATATGCATAGAATCCCCTGGAAGGGAAGGAGGGGTGATTTTCTCCAGACAGAGCAGCTGGGAGAAGAGGTCAGAGAGAAACTTATTGTTCATTTTATGGCCTTTTCTGCCACTTGAGTTTTATTCCATGGACACATTATCTACTCAAGAAAATAAACTACGAATAGCTGAATACATAAAATTAGAGGAAAAAATAATATTGAAGACACAAAAGAGCGATCCTTTATGTGTGTGCAGTGCAGGAACTGAACAACTCAGAGAAGAGTTGAAATGTTCCCAGTGATAAAAAATAAGGATGTGTCGTAGATCTAGAATAATGTATATCTGTTTAAATTTATCCTATTTCTCTTCAAAAGGAGGTCACCAAGAATAATAACTTTGGTTTTAGAAAATTAAATCACAGCCCTTGTTTCGGCAAGTTATTAGATAGTGGAGAGCAGAAAAATGCAGATGAAAGACACAGTAGGCTTTTTCCTCGGTGTGAGGATTAGGTTCAGCTGCTAGTGAAGGGGCCCAAAACCAGCCAGCTGGAAGGAGCAGTGGCGTATTTTTCACTCACGTCGAAGTCTGGAGGCAGGCAGTCCAAGGCTGGTTAGGAAACTCGGTTTGATGGAATCCTGGAGCACCAGGCTCTTGCGGGCCTCTCATCCCTGGGATGGGCCCCTGCACTTGTGGCCCAGATGAGAACCACGTCCCAACCACCACGTGGGTGTTCAGAGCAGCAGGACAAAGGAACACACAGCCTGTCCTTTAAGGAGGCCTTCAAGTGCCCTGCCCACTTCTGCTCACACGTGACTGGCCACAATTCAGTTACGTGCCACACCTGGCTGCAAACGATGTTGGGAAATAAAGCCTTTCACCGGGCAGTTAAAAACCAGAGGTCCCAGGGTCAGGCCGTCCTTCTGCCACTGTCCTATATGGCCGTGAAACCCATCTTCCTGCCCCTGCTGTTTTGCCGCTTCTGGTCCACTGTGGGAGGGAAGCTGGGGCTGTAAGTGAGATTTGGGGGCACAGAGCATGTGGGTGTAGCTCCACCATTCAACAACCACGGGCGTTTTCCCTTTAGTTCCATGATGCCCGTTGAGCTAAGGAAACATGTCTTCTCTTTACAAAACAAAAGAGGTGGCTCTTCCAAGGTGCTTCAGAACCTGCTCAGGACACCCAGAGCCTTCTGAGCGACCCCCGCAGGAGGTCAGCCCCATGGTGGGCATCACCACATTTCTGTCTCCCTGCAAGGTGACGGAAAGGGAGTTGAAGTCCGGAGGTGCCAACACGCAGGTGACAGAGAAGAACAAGAAAGACTACATCGAGCGCATGGTGCGGTGGCGGGTGGAGCGTGGCGTGGCGCAACAGGCCGAGGCGCTGGTGCGGGGCTTCTACGAGGTGAGCCTGGCGCCTGGGGCTCAGCTATGTCACCAAAGGGCAGAGGATGTACCTGGGGGGGACGGCTGAGGGGTCAGACTTCTTGGGAAACCCAACTCTTGTCGTAGTGACAAATGCTCTCAAGACACCAGCATTGAGGGGTCCCTGATGGGCCGCATGTGAAGACATCCAGCACCTGCTGTCAAGGAATGTGCAGGTGGCATTTCCTTTTGTTCAATGAAACAAAAATGTATGAAGTAAAGTAGCGGGAGGATGTTGTCCACTCTTCCTAGGTTTTTATTTTGTTCTAGCATCACTTGGTACCACATGGTACCTGCTGAGGGATGAACTGAGAAGGGACAGCTGCGACACTTCCTGTGCACAAAAGTGATAACCTAAAACGTATCCAGTTCATAAACAAGAAGCTGTAAACACCCTCTTAGGTCATGGGTCTTGGAAGGGTCTCTTTCCCTGCCAGGATGGAAGCATGGGCCACCGCGGTCTCCATGACCACTGGTTCATTAAGGAGGCCGCAGCACAGGCCTTCCGTTGTGTGTGCTGCACTCATGTGACATGTGAGAGCAGGGCACAGAGTTTGGACGAGGCAGGTCCTCCCAGATCTGCAAAGGAAATACAGTCATTTTAAGATAGAATTCCTAATCCCAGGAAATGAGTCATAATTTTACGCAAAAGAGAGCATGCATTTTAAGTGAAATGGTAATACTAATAGCTATTAAATCCCTTCAAAGTGATGGGGACTTTGCCTTTTTTTTATTTTAACATCTGCTTGTACATATTTGTGGGGTACGGCGTGTTGTTTGAATACATGCACATACAGCCCAATGGTTCACGTAAGGTGGACAGCATAGTTTTGTGCCCATTCGTCCACCTCTTCTCCAACCCGCTCCCCTCCTGGCCTCTGGTAACCGTTATTCTACTCTCTACTTCCATGGGAACCACTATTTTTTTAGTTTCCACATATGAGTGAGATCGTGCAGTTTTCGTCTTTCTGTGCCTGGCTTACTTCACTTACCATGATGGTCTCCATTTCCATCCATGTTGCTGAAAAAGACTGTATTTTATTTTTTTAATAGATGAATACTATTCCTTTGTGTATATATACTACAGTTTTTAAAAAATCCATTCATCCATTGATGGGCATTTACGTTGATTCCACCTCTTGGCTATCATGACTAGTGTTGCAATGAACATGGGAGGGCAGGTTTATTTTTGATATATTAATTTCATTTCCTTTGAGTATATACTCAGTAGTGGGATAGCTGGTTCATAAGGTAGTTCAATTTTTAGTTCTCTAAGGAGCCTCCATACTGTTTTCCACAGTGTCTGTGGAAATTTACATCCGCACTAACAGTGTAGGAGAGCTCCCTTTTCTCTGAATCCTCCCCAGCATTTGTTATTTTCTGTCTGGTTGATAATGGCCATTCTAACTGGAGTGAGAAGATATCTCATTGTGGTTTTAATTTGCATTTCCCTGATGAATAGTGATGTTGAGCATTTTTTCATGTGGTTGTTGGCCATCTGTATTTCTTCTTTTGAGAAATGTCTGTTTAGGTCCTTTGCCCATTTTTTAATTGGGTTAACTTGGGTTTTTTGCTGTTGAGTTGTTTGAGTTCCTTATATATTCTGGATATTAACTCCTTGTCTACTGTGTAGTTTGCAAACACTTTCTCCCACTCTATACGTTGTTCCTTCACTTTGTTGACTATGTCCTTTGCCATGCAGAAGCGTTTCAGTCTGGTGTAGTCCCGTTTGTGCGTTTTTGCTTCCGTTGCCTGTCCCTTTGTAGTCTCACGCAAAAAAACGCTGCCCACTCCCATTTCATGTAGAGTTTTTCCTATGTTTTCTCCTACTAGTTTCATAGGTTTAGGTCTTAAATTTAGGTTGATTTTTTTTTTTTTTTTTTTTTTGGCGGCATACAGTGGGGTTGGTTATTGTGGCCTATTACCAAAACCTCCCCCTTCCATCCCAACAACCTCATATCTCTTTGCTTGTTGTATCAACTTCAAGGAATTGTCATTGTTGTGTCTTCTTCCCTCCCTCCCTCCCAGGTCGTTTGTCTATTTATTTATTTGTTTTTAGCTCCCACAAATAAGTGAGAACTTGTGATATTTCCCTTTCTGTGCCTGACTTGTTTCACTTAATATCATTCTCTCTAGGTCCATCCATGTTGTTGCAAATGGCAGTATTTCATTCTTTTTTATAGCATAGTAGTATTCCATTGTGTAGATTCACCACAATTTCCGTATCCACTCATCTGATGATGGACATTTGGGCTGGTTCCAACTCTAGGCTACTGTAAAGAGTGCTGCAATGAACACTGGAGAACAGGTATACCTTCGACTTGATGATTTCCATTCCTCCGGGTATATTCTCAGTAGTGGGATAGCTGGGTCATATGGTAGATCTATCTGCAACTGTTTGAGGAACCTCCATACCATTTTCCATAGAGGCTGCACCATTTTGCAGTCCCACCAACAGTGTATGAGAGTTCCTTTTACTCTGCATCCTCGCCAGCATTTATCATTCTCAGTCTTTTGGATATTAGCCATCCTAACTGGGGTGAGATGGTATCTCAGTGTGGTTTTGATTTGCATTTCCCGAAAGCTGAGTGATGTTGAGCATTTTTTCATATGACTGTTGGCCATTCGTATATCTTCCTTAGAGAATTGCCTACTTAGCTCTTTTGCCCAATTTTTAATTGGGTTACTTGTTTTTTTGTTGTAAAGTTGTTTCAGTTCCTTGTATATTCTGGATATTAATCCTTTGTCAGATGTATATTTTGCAAATATTTTCTCCCACTCTGTTGGTTGTCTTTTAACTCTGTTAATTGTTTCTTTTGCTGTGCAGAAGCCTTTTAGCTTGATATAGTCCCATTTGTTTATTTTTCCTTTGGTTGCTCGTGCTTTTGGGGTTATGTTCATGAAGTCTGTGCCCAGTCCTACTTCCTGAAGTGTTTCTCCCATGTTTTCTTTAAGAAGTTTTATTGTTTCAGGGTGTATATTTAATTCTTTAATCCACTTAGAGTTGATTTTAGTATATGATGAGAGGTATGGGTCTAGTTTCATTCTCCTGCATATGAATATCCAGTTGTCCCAGCACCATTTGCTGAACAGGCAGTCTCTTCCCCAGTGTATAGGCTTGGTGACTTTGTCAAAGATCAGACGGCTGTACATGTGTCGGCTGATTTCTAGTTTCTCTATTCTATTCCATTGATCAGTGTGTCTGTTTTTATGCCAGTACCATGCTGTTTTGGTTATTTTAGCTTTGTAGTATAGTTTAAAGTTGGGTAGTGTTATGTCTCCAGCTTTATTTTTTTTGCTCAGAATTGCTTTGGCTATGCATGGTCTTTTGTTATTCCATATAAATATCTGGATAGTATTTTCCATTTTGGAGAAAAATGTCATTGGAATTTTGATGGGGATTGCATTAAATTTGTATATCAATTTGGGTAGTATGGATATTTTCACTATGTTGATTCTTCCAATCCAAGAGCATGAGATATCTTTCCATCTTCTTGTGTCCTCTTTAATTTCTCTCAGCAGTGGTTTGTAGTTCTCATTATAGAGATTTTTCACATCCTTGGTTAACTCAATTCCTAAGTATTTTATTTTTTGGGTGGCTATTGTAAATGGGCAGGCTTTCTTGATTTCTCTTTCTGCACGTTCGCTATTGGAGAATAGAAATGCTACTGATTTGTATGTGTTGATTTTTTATCCTGTTACTTTGCTGAAATAATTTATCAATTCCAAGAGTTTTTTTTGTAGAGGCTTTAGG